TTGTCTTTGGCTTGGTGTGCCCRTTGGTTTCATTGATGGACACCTCCGAAATGCAAAAGAAAAACTCCGCCAGTGTCACAAATTGCTGGGTTCCTGGGTAAGAAAAAGTTAATTTCTGTAAGTTCCAGTTTAAGCAATAGGCTGAAAGGCAAAAGACTGCCAAGTTAAATGAATTAACTCAGTTGTAATAAGAGGCCAAAGACACTAGCTTATCGCCTTTTTACAGTAGCTATGTTTATTGACTTGTACTAGCCTTAGTTATAGAAAATCTATATGTTGACTCAATCTTAYTTCCATCTTTTGCATATGCATCTCTAAGTTGGAAAATCAAAGATAARTGAGACCTGTAAATGATTCAGGAAAGTGTTAGGTATTTAAATGAGTGACAAAAATTATTGATGGTACTCMATTACTATCTTCAGAATTAGTGAAAATTATGCTTGTGCTTGAGGAATGTTATTGGAAACACTTGTAGCTCAGAGATGAGCATGTTTTCGGACAGCTGGAGGAGAAAAACAAGCCCACAACATGCAGATGCCTATGCTATATGGGAAGAACAGGACAGAGTCCGTCTTGGACAAGGTACTGCCTGCTTCTGTGGGATTAAACTGCCTAATCAGCGCCCAGAAGTTCTGCACCTGATACTTCTTTCTGCTTATGCCGAACATAAAACGTTTGGATAATTACCTGGGCTGCAGAGCTGTGTCAAGGTAACAGCTCCCTAATACTCTTTGCAGGGGGTGAAATATTAGTGCATCTATCTTTGGTCAAGGGTGTTTCAAGTTATGCTAAACTGTAAGTAAGGTGAGAGACGATGGGAGATGGGGACTATAGCTCTGAATTGTGCACTCCAACTGCTGATGTTTGCAGCTGTGGTGCCTTCTGCCATAATAAAACTCCCTCTAGGAGAAAGAGGGCTTCAGATAAGATAACGAGAGACAGAAATAAATAACGTTGGGGAAGATAAGTGTGGAAAAAGGACAAGGAAGATGGTGAGACAATTGCTCATCTGAGCATCTGCATCTCAGTTCAACAACAGGTCTTTCTTGTTTTGGGGCTWGCAGGGATTTTTGTAAGAACAGTAAGCTCCAAGCTACAGCAGTGTTTCAGACCTCATTACTATCCTGGGGACAAGGCAGGAGACATTTATTTATTTATTTTTACTCCACTGGCAAACAAAACAAGGATTCTTTTATCATCCTGTACAGGGTAGCATAAGGAGGCTTTGCTTGCCCCAAGTTTTGGATGGTCGTTAGTATATTGCAGAGCTGGCAAAATCCTGGCAGATCTTTCTGATATGTCAGTCTGAGTGCTTCTGACTGCTAAAATTAAAGGCTGGCACGTTGCTCCAGCTCTGCTGAATGTTAGCAAAGTGAATGGACTTCACGTGCCTAATCTGGTGTTTTCACACTGCACTGACTGCTGGAAATAGGAACAGGGGAAAAAYTCACAGAAGGTTCAGACAAGGAGAGCGCAATTGCTTTCCAGTAATAGTCTGACAGTAACCACAATTTAAAAGTCAAATAAGTATATGGCCCCTGAATGAGCAGGAGTGCTGCTAAAGTGTAGCTGTTTATGAGAGAAATGATTCAAATGGCATTTTGGAGTTTCTTGTTGAATGTCACGGTGATTTCCATAACTGGTATTCCTGCTTTAAACACAGAAAGGGGAGAGGAAGGATACCGCTAAATCTGAAAATATAAACCTGGTGCTTAAACTGGTGTCTTTTCCTCTTTTGTCTAGTCAGGGGCTAAAGTAAGAGCATCACTCGCAGCAGTTTGTTCCTCGGTGATTCCYGCCCAACTGTGTTGCAGCCTTTTGGTGAGGTGCGGGTGGCTGGAGGGGCTGGTGCATGTGCACAGGGAGACAGGTCACCTTGCTCTGTGCTGGCTCTTCATGGCTTGTGGCAGGAAAGTTGCAGAGGTCAGAAATGGAGGTGAAAATAATCGAGAAATCAGGAGGAGTTTTCCACGCAGCAAAATTTCTTCATGATGCCTTTCAGGATTTTGGAGACCCTCAAAGGAGTGTTGACGTCGTTTTGACCTGATAACCCATTTGCAACAACAGAAGATTCAAATATGCAGATTTATCTCATTCATACATTATTACACCTAGCAAATAAATCCAGGAGAGCCTGGAGGGCCTGTCCGGGTTGCACATGTCTGTGTGCGTGTGTCTGCACTGCTCAGCTTTTGGGCAGCTCGGCCTCTCCTGTGCTGTTAGGCTGTGCTGTTAGCCGTGCTGCTGACCTAGTAGCTGAACCCAAGCGTAGCTGACGCGGCAGCATGGAAAGCAGGAGAGAGCAGGGAGAGGCTGGCTTTCCTGAAGGGAGAAGGGCAGAGCAGTGCCTCGCTTTGATCAGAAAGGCATGAGACGCTGCCTGCTGCTGGGAGGGTTGAGTGCCAGATGTTGTCAGACGCGCGGTGTGCATCTGTGCCGGGCACCCCGGGGAAGGGGACACCGAACGGGTGTAACTGCTACCGCGCCGCTGCTCAAGTGCTGGGCACGGTTTGTGCCGCCTGAAGATCTGCCCGAGTTCATTATGGTGGAGGGATGTCTAGGGTTTCATTTTCTATGGTGCTTTGACCATTCCCATCTCCTTTTCCCCTTAGGAGACGGTCAAAACAAAGCCCATTTTAAAAGAAATGAATGTAGAAAATGTGAAACGTAAGGATCTTTTACAAAGTGTCTTTTACAGTGCTGTGGACATGAAACAGGGCAGTGGAAGATAAGCCATTATGTATGTTGAGGAAGCCTAAGAATAAAGATTATAGGCAAACAGTCTACCTTTCTTTACAGGGCCTTGATTTACATCCCTGAAATCTCAAATTTAGCTATTACAATGAAGTCCTGTTGCAGACAGAGCTGACTTTTTATCACCACTTAAAATCTAATTAATCCGTATTGAAGCACAAAGATTTCTGTTGTGTTTTAGGGTGAGGGGTCATAGAGCCTTCTTTGTTCATCCTCAGGCTTGTAATCATCAGGCATTGGGATATAATTTTACCAAGCAAATTGGAAGGTAGCAGATCAAATCCTTATCGGAAAGCCTAACTCATGGTTTAGCGAAGTCCTCCGTCCTTTATGTGAAACACTATATTCACGAAGAACAAAACAGTGTTTCAGAGCATACAAAGGGTTAATCGCCCAGGCTTATATTTGGGGCACCAGAGAAGTCAAAATCATCATAGCTCTCACAACACCAAAGGTAGCGGTGGTTGCGGAGCGGCTGGGGCGACGCTCCCGACTCCGCTCTTGCCATGGCTCTGGTCTGTCGGCCCATGGTGCAGCTGAGTGGCATGGTGTTCTCGCTGCTGGGATGGGTGCTCTCCTGCCTCACTACCTACTTACCTCAGTGGAAAAATCTGAACTTGGAACTGAATGAACTGGAGATCTGGACCATGGGACTCTGGCAAGCTTGTGTTGTGCAGGAGGAAGGGGGGATGCAGTGCAAGGACTTTGATTCTTTCCTAGCTTTGCCTCCAGAGCTGAGGATTTCTAGGATTTTGATGTTCGTTTCCAATGGACTGGGGCTTCTGGGGCTCTTGTTCTCAGGATTTGGGTTGGACTGTTTGAAAATTGGTGAAAGACAACAGGAGCTAAAGAAACGGATGTTGCTGCTTGGCGGAATGCTCTTCTGGATGTCGGGGATCACAGCTATTGTCCCAGTTTCTTGGGTGGCCCACTCCACAGTTCAGGAGTTTTGGGATGAGAGTATACCAGACATTGTCCCCAGGTGGGATTTTGGGGAGGCGTTATTCATTGGCTGGCTTGCTGGGTTTTGTCTTATATTGGGAGGATTCCTACTTAACTGTACACTCTGTTCAACCGAAGTCCTTCCATCTTCAGTCCATCTTGCTGTAGCAGAACTACAAGATCAGTGTCAACACTTGGAAACTGAAAGCAGGCCTGAAAACTGAAGATTTTAAGTAGTACGGACAGACTGCCCTCTCTTTCAAACACTACTGCAAGCCAGATGCTTGTTCCACTGGTAATTCAAAGGACTCTTTGTTATCTAGCTGATTTGCTAAATTTGTCTCCTTTTTTTCCCCCCCCAACTGGTATTTGAAAGCAGTGTTTTTTCACCTACGGAACTATTTAAAAATTTGCTTCACCGCAAGATGCTGGAGTTTTCATGGTTTATGCAGAAACAATGCTTTTACCTTCTCAACTATACTGTAAAAGTCTAGAAATGACTAAGCATGTTCTCTTGCATCTTGGCTTTTAACTATAGTTATGCTTCCTTTTCATCTAAAACCAAGTGAATGAGCCTCAGAGTTTGACTCCCTGTCAGTTTTCTACCTGCCTAATGCAGGGACACGCGAGCTTGGGAGTTTTCACATGCCCAACAGCCTGTGCCAGTTACGTGGCCTCAAGTAGCGCACTCTGGTCTTGGAAACAGTTGGGTTGCCTAAGAAGACTGAAATGCTAGTGAGATGTGCACTAAGCTTCTTATGGTGGGAGTACCATCGAGGGTGATTTCTTGTGTGCAGCAAGCTGTTTTTCTAACCCAGCACCCCAAASAGCACATCTGAGTTATTTGAGGTGCTGTGGCACCCATGTGCTTTGGGCACCCGAAAGGAAGGCTGAGAGACAGCTCTTGAACACATTTAGAAGATCTTGGTCCAACAGAACAACTGAGTCTTATGTGTCATCTAAAAGGATCAGTGTTGTTCTGAAATGTAAACTTTCTGACTTTAAGTGAATGATGTTACTTAGCTAGCCGTAGCAGAGCCAGCGTCATTCATTTCCTGCTGCAAGTCAATGTGCTGTTTGAACTYTCCATACATGCAACTGCTACCATATATTTATAGCATGCAGTATGAGATGTTACAGCTAGCAGAACTGTTGTAAGGTTTTATGCAGACTGATGGAAAGAAAAAAAAAARWRTAKWGTGTATATATATATTTATCTACATATAGACTCTGTGGGCGAGGCTCWGGCCACCCCCTGCAGATCCTGGGGCACTGCGCTGCTTCCGTGGCCCCCAGCRCCGCACATGGATCCAGGTACCGTGTCCAGGTGTTTTGCAAACGCTGATGGAGAGGAGCGTGTCATGCCGTATTGCGCACTGTTTTAACCTTGCTTATGTTCAGTAATGACAAAGAGCTGAGTTGAATCTGGTCTGCAGAAACCAGCAGTTTTGCCCTTCTATGACTGCKGAAAAAKGAGCTCAGTGCACAGAGGCAGGGCRCAGGTAGCGGGATTAGCCGTGGCTGTGGTTGGGTAGATTTTAACTGGTGTTTGCAACTCTTTGCCAGACTGGAAAAATCTCAATTTAGATTTAAATGAACTGGAGACCTGGACCATGGAACTCTGGCAACCCTGTATAGTGCAAGATGGAGGAGGCACACAGTGTAAAGATTTTGCTTCTTTCTTAGATTTGCCAGTAGAATTCAAGATTTCCAGGATTTTAGTGTCTATATCAAATGGACTAGGACTTGTGAGCCCTGTGATCTCTAGTTTTGGTTTGGACTGCCTAAAGATGGAAGATACAGAGCAGAAATTATAGAAACAGCTGTTACTACTTGGAGGAGGACTCCTATGGATGGCTGGAGTTCTGGCCTTGGTCCCAGTTTCCTGGGTTGCCCATGTCATCATCCAGGAATTTGGGGATGAAGATATCCCAGAGATCGTGCCCAGATGGGAAATTGGGGTTGCGATGTTCAGTGGTTGGTTTGGCRGATTTTTGCTCATTCTAGGAGCATTCCTCCTCCTCCTCCTCTCCAGTGCCTGCTCATGCACTGCCTACCCCTTACTTGCGGTGATGGATGCACAGGATCCCTGGCAACACCTTGAACTGGAAAATAGAAGACTTTAAAAAGGGKAGATATCTGTTTTTCAGATTTTATTCTTGCATTACAACAAGGAAGGGTCTGCTGAACAAACCAATTGTTGTTTACAAGATATTGGGGGGATATTTTTCTTACTGTGTACATCCATTAATAATTTTTCTTTTAATAACTGAATAACTTTATTTAATCAGATCTGTATAAGCTCATCAGTTAGTTAATTTTAAGTAATAAGTTCCCATGCTTTCATCCCAAAGCTGATCAACTGCTTCTTTAGGACAGATGAGTGTAAATGTTGGATCTCTGGGGCTGCATGGAGGCTTAACTGACTGTTTCAGGGCAGAACTCCTGCTGACTTAGAGGGTCTGCTTTGATGTCTTGCTGAAAACAGCAACATGAGACTAAGTCTTTGGACCGTTTGTTGTGCCAGCTCAACAGGAACCACAAAGAGCAAAGRGAGTGGAATCTGAAATGACATTCCCCAGCCCTTTACCATTTATGTTAGTGCAAACTAAACCTTCTCAGACAATGTCACGTAATAGGAGATTCCCTTTTGTCTGTGGGGGAGTAAGAATATACAGCTGAGCCTAACGTTCCCCCCTAAAGCTGGGTCCCACTGTTTCCAAATACGATGCTGTCCTGTGGGGAGCTGACCATGCTCAGAGCCCTGGCTGTTTTTATTTAATGAATGTAAAGAACTAACTACAATATATGAATTACCTTTCTTTTATAACTTAGAGTACTCTGAGACTTGGCAGTGATCGATGTGAACTTTCTATAAATTGCAATGACTTTATGCTGACAAAGTTGTAGCAACCATCTGTTTCTACAAAGAACATATAAAGACATAAGAGCAGCAATAAAAGAATGAAATAAAACATGAGTCTGGGAAGGAGCTTTGTTTTTTTAAAAAATGTATTTTCCAATCACTGAAACACATGGAAAAGTGCAGAGACAAGTTAATCTATGTGATGTATTTGCATACTCTTACAGACAAAATTAGAACAGAAACACATTCAGAATATAACCTGATTAAATATTTAGTTCAGTCCTGAGCATTTGATATTTAATACAATATAAACATAGCACTAGTAAAAAAGRATCTTAAAATTATTTGATTTGTATCCTATTAAGATTTCTGCTAAAATTTGCTCATTTGGCTAAGTAAGTATTCTTGTACCAGTAATATTTAGATTTTGATACATGCAACTGCAGAGATGTTGGTACCTGGAAACAGAACTAATTAAGTTCATTAGAGCCTGCTATGCATAGCAAGTTCTACTAAAGAGTAATATTTCTAAGCTTAAGCTGACAGGGGTTTATCCATGTGCATTTTAATTTATTCTATTGGGTGTTTCAAGTGTGAATAATTTGAATTCATAAAAAAAAAAAAAAAAAACAAGCCCAGAACTGTCTAAAAGCTGTCTGGAAGGCATGTTCAGGACTACTAATTTGGGAAGTGAGGAGCCTCAATACATTTAAGTCTCTCATTTTTAAATGAGAGTTTTGCATGCTAAAACCAGCAATACTTCAATTCTGGCTTCACCCTATACTTATCAGGTGATAATACTTTTTTGAAAGTTATTCAACTTCTGTAAGGGAAAGGCAGCTAATCTGGCAAAAATKTAGAGAGCTCTAAATATTTTCCACAAATAGTATACTTAATGTCAAATATTTTTATGGCCAGAACTGAACTATCTTAAACAGAACATAAATAAGACTGTAAATAAATAAAAGAAAAATCATAAAAGTACACCTCTAAACATCATTCTACAAACATTTTATATAATCAAATTAAGGAGCTGAAACAGTCAACCTTCATTTTACCTCTACATTAAATAATTCCAGATTTTTTTTTTTTTAATTTGACCTTTCAAACATGAATGCATCTTAAACCCAAGAAGCCAAAAACAAAAGGGGCATTTATAAGGGATATTCAGSCAGCCACCTTGCCCCAGCTAGTGTAGCGTTTGACTGTGTGTGTGCAGGACGGGTGGTGGTTGTGCCTGGGAGGCTCCTTGGGCGCAGAGCTGTCACCCGGGGGCAGCTGCTGCGGGAGCAGAGCCTCTTCCTCCTGCACTTTCACACAAGGGAATCGCAGCCTTTTGGAAGATGAAGCCCAGGGGCTGCCGGCTTGCTGCTTGGGGAAGACAGTTTCACCAGTGAATTAAATACAGCCGAGTGCAACAGAATGATTTTCTACTTACCAGGTTAGGTGCAGGGTCTAGCTACTTACACAGTACACACAGATAACCCTAGTTGCTTTACCAGGGCAGGGCTTTTTAAACATCTGGTGCTACATGTAAGTTTCTGGACTTCCAGCAAAGTGAATCCAAGCTGATGAGTCTTCCTAGCAGGTTGGCTCAGGTAAGACAAATCAGAGACTTGCTATTCACTTTTAAATTATGCCTGTGCAGCCTGATCTGCCCACAGGGCCATACTATATATTTTTAAAAATGGTATTTATTCTATTGAAATAAGTTAAGCCTCTCTCATTAGGAACTTTTTCTTTTCCAGAAAGGGTTTACAATGCCACCAAGACTTCTGATATCTGAGTGAGTATGTGACAGAATTAAAGAGTTTCCTTCTGGTACAAATACTTTAACAAAAACATCCCCATATGCAAAATTTTTACATTTTCCTAGTAGCAGACAACCTCCAGGACAAAAAAACCTACACTTAAAAATAAGATTTTTCCTCTCTACTGCAGTGGGTATAACTATTCTGATTTCAGCATTGGTGGTAAAAGCTTCCAGTTCAGAAAGCAGCTGCCCTTTTGGTAGTCTCATCAAAACTTTAGGGTTACTTGTCTGCCTTGCCTTCCCACTCTCCAGCAGATGCAAGAAACCTTTTAGTGCAGGTCAAAGTACTGTACATTCACCAAACTCTCTTCCTACAAAGAATTAACACACACACACAAAAAAAAAAAAAAACAGAATAAACTTGTGTTTCAGAAACAAAATTCCAATGTRGGTTTTGAATCTAATTAGCAGCTCTTGTGAGGCAGCCTTGATGTTTTGGAAAGGAGCTTGCACTTATGGTTAGCTTCAACTTATAAAAGTCACACTCTTGTACAAAAAATATTGCATGGCATAACAGCCATCTTCACAGTCTGCTCACATGAAAATAGTGAAAAGATAAACAATCTTCTGTTGAACGTAGTATTTCTCAACACAGTGCGGTTCAACAGGATACATGCCTAGTACTGCGCCTTTGTTCCTCTGTTCCAACTTTACAAAAGAAAAGCATACATGCAATACATACAAACTGTACAAAGTCAGCAACAGTATACCAAGATTAACCTACTTTGGTTTTCTGGGTGGTGGATTTTGCCTTTTTTCTTTTTTTTTCTTTTTTTTTTTTTTAATATAGAAGAAATCAACTTACTGTATTTTACAAATAAACATAGCAATGGTGAATGTAAAATAGAAGATCTTTAAAAGCAGGTCACTAGAACTACAAAGTTCATCTAAAAGAAAGGATGAGCAAGTAGAAAACCACTTCAATGAAAATGCATGATTTACACGTCATCAGCTGGAAGGGCTGGTATGCTGATCTTTGCTCTTGTGAAGTATGCTATCTTCTCCCTAAATGCAGGAAAGAAAACAACTTAGTATTTATCACTCCAGTGTCATCCACTGTTGAGCCCCTGATGTTAGAGCACAGCTGTTTACAATATGAGTTTGGAAAACCCACAGTGAGTTTAGTTACAGCAGAGGTGGCTGCAAGAGCAGCTCAGAGGAGATGCTCTTCTCAAGGGCTTCCTCACGCTTAGTCCTTGAGGCCAAAGCCCRGGAGGAAGCGCAGCTCAGAGCCCGGGGCAGCCTTGGCGGCGGTAGCCCCTTGTCCGGTTTGTCTGGACAAACCGTGTTATCCCTGGCATGGCTCGAGGTCCAGTCAGGAGCAGCACCTCAACGCAAAMACAGCTGTGCACACTCAGTTCATCYGCTAACTGGGCGGGGATCAGAAGAGAGAGTAGATTTTTACACCAGTCGGCCTGGGGGGCAGCAATGATGGCTTGAGCACTGTTACCGCCACAGCTGTGAGGAGTGCATCCCCAGATTGCTTGCTCAAAATTCATACAAAGGAATCCAGAAATCAAACTTTAAAAAATTGTGTTAAATCTATCTGGAAGAGCAAGCCTTGTTTTTTTTTTTTTTTTTT